GTGCGTTGGCCAAGGGTCTGAGAGCGTCTCAGAGTCTGGAGGAGGTGTCCGGCTGAGTTCTGGCGTCTCCAGCACATCCTTCAAAACACTGGAGTCCTCCCAGCTGTACCCGCGTGCCCTAGGTTCGCAGTCTCACCTGTAGAGCTGAGCAGGTGCAGCGGCTCTAACGGAGAACTGGTCGGTTCAGGCTTCCAGAGCTGCTCCAGCTGTGACCTGTGCGGCCAGCAGTGCTACAGGATAGTCCCCAGGAGAGCAGTGACAGTCAGCAGTGGGTTTACACGCGATAGACTTGTCTGCTAACTAGGAATCCAAATTCTGCTAAGGACTCAATGAAGCTTTTTGCAGTTTTGTTTCTTGCAGAATGAGACAAGTCATTTTTTTATGCCATTAGCAGCACCTTACTTTGTTAATTTCTTCTGATCCTGTTTGTAGATAGGCCTGACATTTAAAGGACAGGGAAAAGGTAAAAGTTCAGTTCATCTTCTCTCTTGACCAAGTGAAATCACTCTGTATAGTTTTAGTTTTGCTGTGGTTACGTAAAACACTGTGAGGTTTCCTGTGTGATTTTCTGTTCTGGGTAGTTTCATTGTGGTCTTTGTTTTGTCTTTTTTTATTTTATTTATTTCCATGGTGCTTTTCAAGATGCTCCATTTGATCAAAGATGTCATAACTTTTTGTAGTTTATTCCTGTGTTTGTGGATTTGCTTTCTCTGAGCTATTGCTAGTGGTCCCAATACAAATTTGTACAACACAGTTTTTATCCAGTCAGAGATAACCTTTAATGTGGCTATAAACACTAATTACTTTTACCAAAGGTTTAGAGGTTTGTCTTTTTAGACAAGTGAAAGAATTACTGCTCCCTTCTTTCCTGCAGGTTGTGCCCATAATTTTGTAAGGCCCAGGAGGTTTGTTAGGTTCATCTCCTGCCTGTGCAGTTTTTTTCTTTGTCAGGCAAGAGCATGTATTTATGGGTTTTTAGTCTCCCTGGTGTCTCAGTCAAGATAAAATTTCACAAAAAAAAAAGTGGAATAATTTTATTGGGGATAAAAAGTTTTGCTGAATTTATATATTTTGCTGAAAAGTGTTAACCAGAGCTGTGTAGTTGTTGGTGGAGAGACATTAAACAGCAGTGAGTTCCATGTTAGGTAGTAAAGAGGAGTGAAACCCTGTGGCCTCTTATTAAACAAGAGTGGAGATTCTCCTGTGAATGGTTTGTAAACAGCTATGGCCCCATTCACACAGAAAATCATGTGTTCTTTTTGTACTTTCACATATACGTGAAAAGCAGGTTGGAAAGCCCAGTTCCTTCCCATGTGTTGTTCTTTGTATTGTATCACATGTTGGTTTTTTTTTTTCCTCCCCGCCCTTTGCTTTTGTCTGAAGTTTCTAATACACTTCCTTGTCTGAGATACAGTGTAGACTCTTGGCTGGACAGTTCCAGTCCAAAAAGCAGTTGCAAATGCAAAGTAGAAAATGCCACTTTCAAACAAGTGGTCTAAGACAAGTCACTCTCCATCTCTGCTTTCGAGTAAAATTTGGTCCCAGGGAGAAGGAAAGTGCCTCCATTCTCTCAGTTGTGTTGGTCAAGGCTTTGTATAATTATGGAATAAATGTGAATTTTGTGGCAAAGCTCTTGCATTTAGAATAAAAGGCAGCAGAAAGCATAATGTGGGAGGGCCATAAGGAGTCATTCCGGACCAGTGGCTGTGGAAAGAAGGATGAAGATGCTGGAAGGCCTTGATTTTGGTTTGTCTTCAGGGTTTGGGTGCAGAGAGGAATCTGAGAGGTCATTGCAGATGAGGTTTGGCCTCTGGCAGCGGTTGGTATGCAGACAGGACTTTAACCTGGAATAAAGAAGTACAGTTGCTTAGTAAAATAGAAAGGATTTTGGAAAGATATGCACTGCAGAAAGCTGTGGGCACCGCCAGATGTTTTTGCGGCTTGAGAGCAGTCCAAGAGTCATCGGGTGTGTCCTGAGGAATGTGAGGCAGAGAGAGCCTTGCTGTGAGCAGGTGAGGTCAGGGTGAGGTGGTCTAGGGCGGAAAGACAACAGCAAAGTTAGCAGCAACAACAGCAAACAAACCTCCGATTCAGCCTTTTGATTCTTCTGCTGGACTGAAACGAGGGGATCCCGTGTGCTGAAAATTGTGTATTATCTGAAAGTAGCTGAGTGATGTAAGTAGCAAGAATTGTTTGTTAGGCCAGAGGCTGAACTTTACTTGGACCACGTGACTCTGTTGTGAAAGTCAAAGATGGGTTACAGCGAAACTTGGAGCTAACAATCTGAACATTACCAGTAGTTAGAATAGACCAAGTTAGCAGCTTAAATATTACTTAAAAATTAGTAGCTGGAGTGGACAGACTATAAATTGTGATGCACAAGGAGTTAACAACCACATTGCAACACAAGTGACCTCTTGGGTGTGACGATGACCACACAGCAACCACTGGTTGACAAAACAGTGAGCAGTGAAGAGTGAAGAGATCCCAGACATGCAAATCTCTATTTGTCTGTTGCATGAGGGATGGGGAGTTCAGATTGAAGGGTGTAATTGCCTGGGGATTTCTTTGTCCCCCTTGTGAGGCACCAGCTTGAGCTACCAGATATCATATGTGGGAGAATTTCTGATTGCTAATGGACATGTGAGCAATCCAGCCTTGCTAGCAGGGCCTGAGCAAGCTGCAGGCTAAGTTGGTCAAGGTCGCAGCTGCGGTTGGAATGAGAAAGAAGGTAGCAAGATAAACAACTCCTGGGTGATGGATGCAGCAGTTGAAGTTGGTTAGGGGTGGAGAATAATGATTAAGAATTTCTATGATTGATATGATAATAACCAATTATATTGTGTGTAAGGCAGAGTAATAATAGTAGTTAGCCAATAATAAGTAGATGCTTATAATAGGTGTGTATGAAAGAATCACTTTTGTAAATAATAAGACATTCACCAGATAATAATGGTCATAGCCTTTTTGTACATGAACTCCCACAATCATAGATGACCTGTGCCACTAAACCTATCTGATGGAGTCCAGAGCTTGGTGTCAAAAATTTCTTCAACACTGTTGCTGCAGCATGTGGGAAGAACATGCATATTTTGGCCTATGTTAAATTGAGCTGGAACAGGTTGGAGGCAGGTGGTCTTCGTCAAGTAGCTTTTCTGCTCACTTTGTTAAACCAAAAAGACAGTTTTATGCACTCACACATTTTGATTACAGGTGGGTTTTCCAGGAGTTACAGTATTCTCACATATCACTGCCTGCCAGTAGCCTGGTTAAACAAGCCTCAGTGCATTATAAACAGCTTTTTGTATTTATGTAGGTGCTAAAAATGCAAAAGCCATGTGCAAAAATGTGGAAGTGGAAGTAACCAGCTTAAAGGAAAGTTCACATTTAAATCCAAATTTGGTTTGTACAATTGAGCAGTGAGTTCTTTTGGCCTGAATTTGAAAAATGTTTACTGAGTCTGTGGGGACAGAGTCATGTATGGATGCCTGAATATGTTGGGTTAGAATCTGGAATAAATAAGTTTTGTGTTGGTGATCACTATTGCACAGACAGTAATGATAAAGATTTGTTTTGGAAGACACAGGAAGATTACAAAATGTGGAAGAAGGTCTTAACCAATTTGTTTTGTTCTTGCTTTCTCACACTAATATTTTGTTGGAATTTGGAGACACTTCCAAACAGGGGTATGTATAGCCTTGGAGTCATTAGTAAGCTTCCTTGCTGTGTGGGAGAAGATGAAGATAGCAGGTTCATAGATTCTCTTGTCTTGTGTTCAAATTGTATGTTACTCAGACAATCTGCCCTTTCCTATAAGTGAAATTCTCTAATGCAGAAGTGTGTTAGAGGTGGTAGAACTCAGTGGTTAGATTTGACTGAAACTAGTACATTGAAGAGTGTTGGGGCACTGAGGGTATGGCCAGCCCAGGTGTTTACCCCTGTAAACCTTAAAAAAAATACAGTAGCAGTTACCAGCTCAAAATGATGGTGGTGGGGAGGTTATTAAATGCCATCACATAAGAAGCTGGTGAGGTCTTACCTAGAACACTGAATTCAGTCAGTCCCATTCAGGAAAACCTAGTTTAAGCTGGAAGGGTGGCTAATACTTACTAGGATGATAGAGGAAACAGTTTGAGCAAGGAAACTGACAGGTTGGCTCCGTTAGCCAAGCGGAGTGAAGGCTGGAAGGTGAAGAGGATGATGATTCTTTGTCTGATTTACCAGAAATAGCTGCTGGCATTAAAACAAATGTAGAAATAAATGACAACATTTCATTTTTAGCAATATTCCCTCTATGGGTGTTTAGGTATTGTTCTTTCAAAAAAGTGAAGTTTTGTTTCCTTTTCAGAAACAAGACCATAACAGACTTCTTCAAGCCAACTTTAAGCCAAGGTAAACGTGTTTTTTAATGGAAGATATTTACATTATTTTAATTGGGTCAGTTGTACAGAAGTCCAATCTTATTTCAGATTGGAACTGCAACATAACGAGTGTAGCTTACCAAATGTGTGAAAAGGCACACATTTAAATGTTTTTCAGATAATGTAACTCAAAATGTTCATTTCCTGTTAAAATTAGTTTCGTTCAATAGTGATGGAGTTATTATTTCAAGTTACTGTCTCATGCTTAGGCATGACTGTATATCAACTGCAGCTGTGTCATAGACCATGTGAATCTTTGGTATGAAATAAGTCACATAGCAATAGTGAAACCAAATGATTAAGTACATTAATTTTGGATTATGTGTGAGAAAGATGATAAAATCTCAAGTAATACAGTACAGTGAGGTTTGTTGGTTTATTTTGGTTTTTTCCGGTATTGTGTTTGTGATTAATTTGTCTTGTGTTTCTCTTAGACATTGGCCATAAAGACAGAATTGTGCTGTGCTCACCTGAGAGGGCAAGTGTAAAAGATGCAGGAATGGGACTGTCAGTTTTACATGCTGAAGGCTTTGAAAGGAAAATATCTTCTCCTAAGAAGGTAAGAAGAAGAAAGATGCCAGACCAAACACCAAACAAATGTTCTGTGGTAGATGCCTTTCAGGAAATAATTGAGGAAAAGGACAGGGCAGACATTTTAGAGAATGGCAGAGTGTGCAAGGCACTGAGTTCTTTGTACCCAGAAGTTGTGATTCAGAAACTTCTTGTTACCAGAGAGTCTCAGAACTATTTCTTGGCCAAACAGAATAAGACTGTCAATTCAGAACGAGGAAGAAATGAGAAGTGTCTGGGTGTAAGAAGAGCACTATTGTCTTATGGAAATAGTTTGAAACAGGAAAATGTCTGTATGGATCTAGCAGCCCCTAGCTCAGACTCTGACAAATGGGTTTCACCCTCGGAAGCTGATGCTCCAGCAGCAGCCTGTGCTAGAAACATTGGCACGGTGAGCAGCACATCTCCATGCCAAAGCCCAGGTCTCCCCATGAAACTGCCCTGTTCCCCGGTGGACTCTGAGTGTAGGTTGTCACTGGAAGGTCTCTGCAGAGAAAGGGACCAGAAGAAACACAAGTTGAAACAATCTAAGCTACACCCTGTAAAGTCATTCTCAGGAAAAAGTGTACTGCTCCAGGTGTGTTTAAAGGGGCCAGTGAAGGTAGAAGTCACTGACCCATTGTGCATGTGAATTTTAAAATTTAAAAAAAAAAATTGTTCTTTTTAAAAGATTTTTTGGTGTAGAATCAGATTCTTCTGCTGCCTTTTGCAGATATAACAAAAGTTAATATTCTTTTGTAAGTTTTAGGCCATGCTTGGGTAAGCTGGTTCTTAATTATTCTACAATAAATGAAAAATCATGGTTTAAAACCAGGAAAGGTGTTCTGGGTTAGACACAAGCATGGAAATGCAGTAGGAATTGTTACTTTAAATTGTATTTTGTAGGGGGGGGAAAAAAAGCCTCTATCTTAAATGCATTATGACCTTGTATTTTCTTACAATGAAGCTTAGGGAACAAACTGGCAAATTTCTGCTATTTAGGAGTTGCAGGTAATAGCAGTTCAGATTTATGCACTTAAGCCAAAGTATTTAGCTAGAGATGGCAGTGTTCCTGTTAAGAATGTAGTATTTCATTACAGGTTGGATTGCATTCACTTTTTAAATCTGAAGAAAAGATTTATAGTTTGGATTGTGGAGAGTTGTTTTTTTCTTGAGATCTTTGCAGCTGTGTTTTAAGTTTGTCTTGAAATGAGGTCTATTAACATATTTCTGGGGCTGTGTGGAACTAAATCTCTGCTGGATTCAGCACTTGGCTCAAGAGGTCAACAACATGGTTTTAAAAAGCATACAATTAACTTTATTTTTTCTTCTGTCTCTATGTTTAGGAAAAAGGACGTCCTTTTAGAAAAATATCACGTTTTGGTTCAAGGGAGATTGCCTCAGGTACAAGAAGTGCTGTTAATTAATTAAACAATTGGATTCATCACTTTGTCTTTTTAATGACTTTTTTTCTTGAACTTATGGTCTTCTGTTTTCTCTCACTAAAAAAAGAAATTATTGCTGTATAGTCAATGTTAGTTTTAATATATGGGAAGTTTGAAGAGGTTTAAAAGTAATTTGTGATTTCAGCATAAACCAGATTGTTTGTAGCTTAATTGGAAGTGGTGGTATTTCTTTGTCTTAAAACCTTAATCCCAGGTTATTTTTTTTTCCTCTTGCATTTTGGATAATCCACGTTTGCTGTGGTGGTTAGTAGATTTTGCCTTTCAGCTTAATCCAAAAAGACTGTTCCTGTTAACCAAACCACTAATGTTTGGCTGGTATTCTTGTTGCTTTTGTCCCTGTGAACCACATAATTTTATTCTATGCCAGGTAGAACTGAATCCAGAAAGTTCACATGAGTAGAACCTTGAGCTAGGTCGGTAGGATGATAAAATTTAAAAAAATGAGCTGTCCATGGCTGTGGAAACCCATCAGACTCTTTGCTGCTGTGCATCACTTTCCACCTGCGCTAGCACTGGGACTTGGCCACCAGTGCCAAAATTGAGTTGAGAAGTTCAACCACATCAGCTCCATGAAGTAGTTACCATGAAGTGTCCAGGTGCTGGTGCCAGCTCAAGGTAGAAAGCAGAAAAGCTTGGTGAGGAAGGTGAACTCTGATGCCATAGAACCATAGTCTGAAAATGGATTTCTTCATATTCTGAATGCTTTTTTGTATGACCGCTGTTAAAATTTGTGAAGTATTTCCAAAATGCCTTTCATACTGGTTATTATTTATACCAATATGTAATTACAGGACCTTACTTTCAGTCACACATCTTAACTGGCCTATTGTCTGTTTCCAAAGACTGACTGATTCTAGTGTGTAGGAAAAGTTTTCTACTGTGGCTACTGAGCTGCTTCAAAAATAAATGGATTTAAGTTCATTCCAAGTTATTTGCAATAATAACAGTATAGTATCTAAGTTGAATCTTAATTGTGGTCCTCTGTGTCCAAGCAGAATGGAAATATTGTAGTTTCTGATAAAAAATCCAGTCCTAATTGACTTGAAAACTGAAGGTAGTTTTATAAAGGGTAAGCTGTTACGGGTTTGATTTTTCAATTTTATGGTTTTTTTATTATTAAACATGACAACAGTGTTTTAGTTTTTCTCAAACACTTCACAGATGACCCATCTCAACCAAAGCGAAAGCAGGTCTCAAAACATGAGGCTTCTCCCCGTGCATGTAGAACATCATCTGAGGTGGCATCCAGTATGCCCAAATCTGTTCCTGCCCTCTGCCTCACAGCTAAGGTGTCTTCTGGGCGATCCAGGCAAAGAGACTCTGCGAGGAAAAGAAAACACAGTGACATGAGTGTGGATGCAGGTTGTGCAAATCAATCTGAAGTATCAGGTTTGAACGACCCTGCTTTTAGATCATCTTCAAAATGCAAAAACAGGTCTAACTTTGTAAAAAATATCCTTTTAAAGTCTACTCATGGTGGTGTTCTGCAGCTAATGGAGGCTGGTGCCCGATCCAGACATGACTCTACTTCAGAGGAATACCTCAGCTTGAGTGATGAAAAGGAGAAAAATACATGCTCACCTGTAGGTTTGTCATCTTCATATTCTGCACACAGTCCTCCTGAAAATGACCACATTTCTGTTGTGGATACCAAAGAGAATCAATTGCAGCTGGCAAACTCACACTTTTTCTTGGAAAAGTCCCTTCCTTGTTCTCAGGAAAAAATCACTGTGTTGCCTTCTCTCCACTGCTTAACACAAACAAAAGGTGTGAAATCTCTCCAGACTGCTGGATTATCTCAGGTATTGGATGTTAAAAAAGAGCAAGATGGGAAAAGACCAGAAAGATATGAACACAAGAAGGCATACACTGTTCAATCTAGCAACAGTTTTTCAAGAACAAAACACAAGACTTCAGAAAATGCTTCTGATTCTTACACAGTGGAAGTCTCTGGGAAATTTACACTCTCACAAGAGGCTGGTAAAAGTGTTCCCCCTCCATTGTTTTCGAAAGAATGGTTTAAGGACAGCAGCCATATGTCCTCACAACCCTCAGGAGAGTTAAAAGTTGCAAGCACTGGTACAAACAAGTCCAGGCTGAATAGAAAATCACAAAGCTGCTTTGATAGTGAGGTTGAGGCTTTGGACTACATTCTAAATGATGATGATGATGGTCTAGATGATGATGAAGAAGAAGAAGAAGAAGAATTCGTGCCACTGCAAGAAATTCTCTGTTCAAATCCCAAGCCAGAGACAAGAGCCCTGGAAGAGTCTTTCAATAGTTTTTCTCTGGACACTGAGACTCCATTGCTGAATCTTCGTGTAAGTTGCTAAACATCAAAAAACCCCATTGCATCAGCTTTGTTACGTTATATTTCTATATGATTTTCCTCCTTATTCATAATGCATGAAAATGCAGTATTATTTGCCTGGAAAACTGGTTACTTGGCTTAAGGGTCCTGTGTTGTACAGTGCAATGTAGTTGGAGCAGGGCTGTGCGTGTCACTGTGCTTGTCCTTGGAATGGCTGTAAGGTGGTTTGTGCAGCTGGACTGCCTTAGTTGTGTGCCTTCTGGTGGCTTTTAAGAGTTCTGGTTTTGCTTTTTCCTCCCTAAAGGAAAAGGTAGGAATTGGCATGTAGAAGATGCTTGTGGTCTAATGCTTCTGTTTTCCCAATCAGCTCAGATTTCTGAGTTGAAATTAACAGGAGAAAATTGATGTTGACATTGAGAGATCTGTGTGTTAGACTCCAGTCACACATGCTTGACACAGGCTGTGATTGTCAGACATTTGTGTATGAGTTCTTGTTCTGCAAGTGTGATGTTTTCTTTGGTTGTATTTCATGAAATTGGAAGTATTTCAGACAGGACTTCAAAAAGTTGAATGACTTTTGCTCGCAAGGGATAGGTGAAGTGTTGGAGTCTCAGCGTACAGGATATTATGGTGATGAATTGTTCTGTGTTTTTAAGAGTTAGCTAATTTGTTCAGTAACAGCTTGTCAAATAAGTAGTGATTTTGAAGTTTTATTGTAAAATAATGTTTTAATTAGGAAAGTCCTTCAGTAGGTCTGGGTGTGTCATTGCTGAGAGTTGGTACAGGTTTGAAATGGCTGCATTGAAACGAGATTTTGTACTGAGTCTGGCTGGGTTGGAGTTAATTATTTTTGTAACAGCTATATGGTGCTGTGTGCTTCAGACAAAAACAGTGTTAATAGGAGGCCAGTCTTACACCTCTTGCTGAGCAGTACTTGCATAGCATCAAGGCTTTCTCATCTTCCCATGCTGCCCCCACAGAGTGGACAAAAAGCTGGGAGGGAACAGGGGACAGCAGGTCCCAGGTGGCCAAAGGGATATATATATTCCATGCTGCATAGTGTCATGCTCAGCAATCAAAACCAAGCAGGGGGAGTTGGTCTGGTATGTAACCATTACTTGCAGTCTAGCTGGGCATTCTTCTGCTTGTGAGATGTGCTGAGTGACTGCCTTTGAATCACATTTTCTTTTCCCACTTATCCTGTTTTCCTTATTAAACTGTCATTATCTCGACCCATGAGTTCTCTTGCTGCTGCTGCACTTACTGCCCTGCACCACCGTGTGGGGAAATGACAAGCTGTGTGGTGCTCAGCTGCTGTCTGGGGTCAGGCCACCACTAGTTTCTACAGTGGAAAACAAGCAGCAGAATGCCTCTATAAATACTCCTCTGCTCCTCCTCTCCTCATGTGTTTTTCACTCTCTGAAATGGTTTATTTGTTGGCTGAGTTACTATCTCCATGGGCAGATGTTGAACAGCCATAATTATTTTATCTGTCCTTACAATGCATTATGCAAGAGCTTTATAGATCAGACTTCTGTGGTTAATTACATGCTCTACAATCTTAACCAACGTGTCTATGTAATTATTGGTTAAGCCTGATAAACACATGCAGCCTAGGTCAACTGTCTGTGGGACATGGATGTGACCACAACATTGGGCCTGGCCAGTTTCTATATAATTAATGGCCAAGTAAGACAAAGCAGTTAAGAACTGTCCCAAAATTTTCATGACCATGGTTTTTGCATATGCTCCCCCTCTTCTCTTGTAAGAAGGAACATCTGTGCACATTGGAATAAAGTTTTGATCCCTCAGTTGTTCAACAGTAATTTTGGACATATTAAGCAGATACAAAGTTGAGAGGTCTTCAGCTTTCCCACAAGATTTCCCACGTTAAGATGCACTGCTTGTTAGAGTTGAAAGGTACCTCTGAATATCAGGGTGGTGTCAGAAGGGCTGTGCTTGTCCCAAGAATGGAATTGTGGCTGTAAAAGATTTCAAATCTGTTGTCTGCTACAAGCTGAACAGAACACTGACTACTGTAAACCAAACCACTAGCAAAATTAGTTCAAACTATGTGTGTTGTTTTGTTTGGTTTATTATAAATTCTATGTATTAGCTTCTTAATTAGGATTTGTATTAGGATTTTTATGGGAAGCTTTGTTTTGTTGGATGGTTTTAGAGGAGATTTAGCAAACACTGGTACTTTGCCCTCTAGGGACCCTGAAAGTAAGAAAAAGATACTGCATAATTTTTGGAGTTATGTTCTCTCACACATGGGAATGGAGATTCCCAGGTCTCAGTGGAAGATAATAAAGTTGTGAGTGAAAAGGCTTCTGATTATAATAATTGTGAAGGTTAGCTGGAGGTCAGCCCCAGAGAAGTAGAGACTTGCTTTGCTGTTCAGATCCATTGTGAAGCACAGTTATTTCTAAATTAGTCACTGAGAGAGGTTTGAGCATTATATAAAATTGTCAAGGGACTGAGAAACTTACTGTTATTCATCCTTTTTTTCAGGATTGTCTTTGGGTTTTTAATGTAAAATATCATTGTATATGTATTATGTAATATATAATATTACATATATATCTTGCATATTAAATATCATTATATATGTCAGCTGGGGCCAACACTGTTGAACATCTTTGTCGGTGACATGGACAGTGGATTGAGTGCA